GGCCGGCTGTGCCCCGTCCCGCCTGCCTGCCACCCAGCCCGCCGCCGTCCCCAGGAGGGCACCCCTCAGGGTGCAGGTTCTTGGGGCAGGAGCGCACCCCACCCGCCTGCCTGACCCCGACGGCCGGCCAGCCCTCCTCCCACCCAGGGCCTCGCTGATCCCCAGACCTCCCGCCAGCAGTGAGGGGCAGGGCCGGGCAGGGCCCGGGGACACTGGGCCCAGGCCTGGGCTGCAGGAGGGACATCGGCCAGGAGGTGGCCTTGCGGTGTGCGGTGGACAGCAAGACAGCTGCCGTGCTCCAGCACGAGCCGCCCCATGAACCAAGCTGGCCGGGAGGCAGTCAGGGCCCACTGTCCGGTGGGATGGAGCTTTGCAGCCAAAGTCCCGTGAGGGTGGGGATGGGACCCTATTCTACAGATGGGGAGCAGCCTAGGTCACCCCAAAATGCAGGCATGGCTCCTGTCCAGGCCCAGCTGACCCTGCCCAGGGCCTTGATGAGGAATGCCCGCCACCCTGGTGAGCCCTGGGCTGTCCCCCTGGCCAGGGAGTGCTGCAGGCAGCTCCACCTGGCCAGGCCTCAGGGCCATCAGTGGGACTTGAGGGTCACCTCCACCGGGAAATGGTCGCTGATGGCAAGAGCCTAAAGGGGGGAGGAGGAGGAGACTGTCTCAGAGGCCCTGCTGGGCAGCCTGGCCGCCCGGGCCCCAGGGGAAATGCCCTGGCCTTGTGGCGCCCACCAGGCAGGGGCAGGCAGGGCCCCGGGGGCGGGAGGCCCAGGGCAACCCTGGCATGGGTCTGTGGCCTCGGCGGCCCTGCCAGGGTCTTGTCTAGAAAGGCCAGCAGGACGGCACGTGGCCTGCCCCGGGCAGTGTGCCGGGCAGCGGGCGGCGGCCCTGTGCTGACCTGAGCCCGGTCCAGGCCGAGCTCCTCCTGGAAGTCGTGCACGGCCGCCGACTGGGGCTTCAGGCTGCGCCGCAGGCGCGCGCCGCAGGCCACGATGCGGTCGTAGGCGCAGTGGGAGTTGCCCACCGTGGTGTCGGCGCCGTCGGGGATGAGCCACTTGAAGAGCTCGCTGCTGCGCAGGCGGATGGCCGGCCAGTCGTGCGCGCGCACGTAGCTGCAGTCGGCGTTGAAGTCGCCCAGGAACAGCATGTCCTGCGGGAGCGGGAGCTGGGCTGGGCTCTCGGGGGCGCGCGCCGGCCGCGCCCCCCGGCGAGCGCGCGGGGCCTTACGTCGGTGCCCCACTTGTCGATCACGTCCAGGTACACGTCGTAGAGCGCGTCGATCTCCGCCACCGCCTGGTGGGGCGCCGCGTGCAGCGGGACCAGCACGAGCTC